ATAAGGAGCTATTGTACTACTTGAACCTCAAGATTCTCAACAAACTTATGCCGATCCGTACCATAATAGATGTTGAGCTCTACAAGTACCATCCCCACGATCTTTGCCGTAAGTTTCTTGATGTTTCTTGGTGGTTTTTTTTTATATTATCTTCCCCATCAAAACTTCATTTGTTGGAATTTATTGTATGATTATCAGAAACTCATGATCAACATAACTTTTTCTATGCATGGCTGCTTCTGTGCATGAAATATTGGATTTATTCATTGAAACTTTATAAGATGGGATGGACTTCAGAAATCCAATTTAAAATATTCACTCCTAAAACCAACGATTTTCATAATTTATGTTTTTATTTATGAAAATTATCATTTAACCAGATGTCAATTAACTACAGCAAAACTTAATTAATATCTTAATTGGTGACAGAAAGCAGTAGAACGTATGGAAAAAAAGAGTGGTACTTTTTTACGTCGAGGGCTATGAAGTATAATATTGGTGGTCGGCCAAACCGAACAGCAGCTAATGGTTACTGGAAAGCCACTGGAGGCGATGTCATTGTCCAAAGCAATGGCCAAGAAGTTGGACGCAAAAAAGTGCTTGTGTATTACGAAGGCAAATCTAAGAATCAAAAGACTAATTGGATAATGCACGAGTTTACGATTCATCGAATGAAGGATGTTGCAAGATCTTCTATAAACCCAATTCCAAATGATAAGATGGTATGTAAAAAATCTCATATTCTTCTATTAATTAATTGGGTTTATATATTACTGATTTTGGAATAATTACTTGAAAGCCTAGGCCCTTTTTAATTGATAATATAGGTTTTTTTTTTCAATCCTTAATTAAATTACTNAATTGATAATATAGGTTTTTTTTTTTTTCAATCCTTAATTAAATTACTGGGTTTATACATATATTATAGTTGTTTGGTTTTTCTTGAAACACTAGGGTTTTTTATTATTATTATTATTATTTATTTGATAATTCCTGGTTTTTTGTACTCCATAATCCTAGGGTCTTTTGTACCCAATCTGACAACAATAACTTGGTATATGTCTGTAACACTAATTTGTTTATATTTTTTGCAGCTGGATACGTGTGTATGTAGAATTTACTATAGAACGTCAAAATCAAGCAAAAACACAGAACAAGATCGACACATGATTCCAACTCAAGACAATAACAAGACTCATGTCCCTCGTGAAAATTTGGCAGTAACGTCTAATCAAAATCCTCTACCGTCAGCACTTGATCAATCATCCTTGCAAGCCGGGCAAAGCAATAATGATCAATATAGACTGGTCGAACCCAGTAATCATATGACAAAGCAAAGGAATATTCAATATTCTTTGCTTCCATCTCCTCAACCTCTTGCATATATTCATGGTCAATATAATCCTTTATTACCACCTGGTACAAACATGCCTGGTAATTGTATGGCAGTGGAAAGCAATGATCAGTATCAACCTATTACACACATGAATGGTGACGTAGGTTGCTCTCCATTTGCTGGGACAAGTAGATTTGCAGCTTTCAATGGCATTGATGACGACACTTACTTGGATATAACGACTCCATGTTTTTCTTCTCTGTCTGATTTATTGCCTCCAACTTATCCTATTATACAGTCTTTGCCAATTCACTTGCCTGGGGATGTGGGTTGCTCTACGTATGCGGGGACAAGTAATTTTGCAGCTTCCACTTCCACAAGCAACGCTAATGAGTACATTGATTTACCTACTCCAGAAGATTGGCTTGATCAATTAGATATGTTCTTACCGCCGTTGGATCCTACAATGCTGGATTCTCCTTTAGGTGAGTCGTCGAACTGGCTGTTTCAGTCTGAAAATGTTCACAAATTTGATGGTGATGTTGCTGAATCTACCCCTGAGGACAAAATGTGAAGATCTTCAATCAGAAGAGAAGAATGATAGGTTTGGTGTTAATGATTTTATAGTGTTTCTAAAATCTTACTTACTATGTAACGCAATATGAAATTATTTGTTCAGTTGCTGGCAATTTTGTTATGAAATTATATGTCAAAGAATTTATAAAATTTAGGGTGCGTTGCGAACATGGAATTCGCATGGAAATATTATAAATTTCAAAGCAATTCAATTGCTTAGAACTTTTTTGTTTGGAAATTATTAATTAAATGTGTTTGATTGATTTAATTTTCAATTTAAAAAATATTGTACTTGTCCCCTTTTTATTGGTGCGTAGATGAGAGAAAGAGGGAGAGTAAATTATCGGGAAAATAAAAACCATCCACTTAGGGTCCATTTGATTGCAAATGTGAAAAATGGGTGAAAAAAATATTTTGCTGGGAATTGAATTGCTTAGAATTCGTTTTACTGTGAATTGTATTTAATTGTGTTTGATTGATATAATTTTCCACATGAAAAATGTTGAAAGTTTGATATCTGTTTGACTTTGTTTTTCATGAACATTTTCCATTAAAGTCATAATTTTTTCTACTATTGGGTCTAAAATTTGTTCCAATTGCCAAAAAGAAAAGAAATTTAAAAAAATTATCATACAGAATACCATTCGTTTGGCTTTGTTTTACATGAAATTTGTCAATAAAAGTGATAATTTTTTTTACCATAGTGTTTAGAATTTTTTCTAATTGCATAAATAAAAAAAAGAAAGAAAACTGGAAAATGAAAAACTAACAAAACCCAAAGAAAACAAATTCAATGAAAAGTGAGAAAACCAGTGCGTGAATGTGTCACGAAGAAAAACAATTCTGTTGAAATGACGTAAAACAACATATTTTTCCATCATATTTTCTAAAAATAAATAAATAGTACAAAACAATATTTTTCTCTCATTTCAAAGTATGAAAATAAGTATTTTGATTATCAAGGATGCGACATTAATTAACGAAAGGTTAAAGATAAAAATTCGACGAAAAAAAGTTAAGAAAATAATTGCTATAATGAGGAAAGATTGTAGAGTTTACCTATAATTAAAATATGATGTATTAAATAAAAATTGTGAATAGTAATATAATCATCCTTCATAAAAACTGAAAAGCTTAATGTTCCTCTTTCTACACTTTAGAGTGATTGAACATATATCCCCTATTTGTTCTAGTTAAATATAATATTTTTAGTGTATTTTGATAGAAGGTAATGAAAATATGGTTGAGAAGTTGATAAAAATTGTGGACTCCAAGGTTCATTATTTTCTTTGATTTAAATATTTATACTGCAATTAAGGAAAACAATTAGAAGTTGAGCATAAAAACGAAACTTACCAAACTTGGGGGCTAGGATATAAAACTAAGCCATTGCAATTTGATGAATTGAGCACACATAACTCACGTCACGGTGTTAGAACCTTAGCCAAGAAAATGGCAATGGTGCAACGATGTCTTGTCCGATCCTATGCCCATGACATGGCTGAATGCATGCGAGATGTTGAACAATGTGCAGATTCGAGTGGGATGAAGCAAGACATCGCTCTTGATTTTGTAATGCGGCAATAATGAAGGCATGCTGATACTGGATTTACTTGATGGTATCATCGCAGATGGAAGTTGGGGACGTAAGTCAGATTTGGTATTGATCGATTGATTGACGCAGGCATGTGTTTGATAGCACTGAGACCTTGTTGTTCAGTTAATTTCAATCCACAAATTCAGTTATAATTCAGGCAGAAAACATGTATGTGAAGGCAGTTAAGAGGCAGTTATGCTTTGTATTTGAATTGGGGCTGAAAATTTGCAAAATTAACCCATGAATGCCTATTTAATTCAAAGTGTTTAGTACTTTAATTTAGGGAGGCATATATGAAAGTTGATTGAGGTAACAAGTACTGCATTGGCCCTTTCACGTTTTGTGCAAGTTTCTTTGTTTTAGTGACAAATAAAGTTAGGTTAGTGCCCATAAAATCTATGAGTTGTTTCCTTAATTCGATCTTCTGCATTTACTTTGTCAAAATCATGTGTATTCACAAACTAGAGTTGCATAAACGTGTATTGGCTGGCCGAGGTGGGAAAACTCGGTACCATTGTAGGTTGAATGAATCAACTCTGTGATAATCGGTATCAGTTTCTATTGAATTAGGTACGTTTTTGCAAGTTGGTGGGAAAATTGTGAGATAACCACAAGTCAAAATCTTAAGAATCGGGTTCGAATACTTGACGATTCGTAGGTGCCCCGATGTTAAACGATGAAATGCATTAGAATGGTAAAATTTGATACTAAATTAATGTTGGAAGAACTTAATTTTTTTAATTTGTCACAATCAAATAACTAAACGTCAATTCACTTATAATGTATCACAATGTTAAATGCAGTTACTAAACACCCGAATCCGATGCATTAATTAAACAATCTAACCAACGTTACACTTTAAAGTAAACTACAAATTTGGAAAATAAATTCCACAGAATTATGATAAAAATGTGGCCTACATATATCTAAGTACCATTCTTGTCGTATCCCTTTCCGTTTAATTTACCTTTGAAAACTTTAAATTATAAACAAATGCACATTGCAAGACATACACAAAAACTAATCTTTATACATCAAAATGGTCTATAAAGATTTTTTATACAAACCCTCACAGCTTGCAAAAATTTAACATCCTCCCAGAGGAAAACCTGGAATGTCTCTTCCCAATATCATCATTGAACGTGCATTTTACACAGTGGGGAGGAAAATAAAGAATGAATAAATTTGGTATTAACAGTTCAAAAATTTAGTCAATATCATTGATCATGCATGGAACTATCTTCATACTTAGAGGACAAAACCGCTTCTCGTACCAGTGTTGAATCCCTCCGGCAATTCTTCATGTTCTCTCAAAAGTAGAAACTGCTTAGTTGATGGCATGTTTGGCACGCTTGACTAGAAAGTATTGAGGAAGAAAAAGAAATTAAAATATTTCCTAGTTTATGGTGCAATACTGTCGAATACTGCATACAAAACGTGCTGCGAGAGTATTATGCCTGCTGAGGGTAGAATGACATGAATTCTGTTATATCAACATCCAGCAGCCTTCAAAAAATTGTCATATGGACTTGATGCAGGCAGCCTGAAGGATTGAGGATGATGCACAGCAGCGCATAGTGTGGGGATCCCACTCGTTAACAGTCTGTTGGGAAGTTCGGGCACGTTCTGATCCATGAATGGATTCACACTCTGCTGCTAGCATTCAAATGCAAAATGTTAAAAGAAAACAGAGAAATTGCAGAGATATGAAAATCTCATGAAAACATCAACTTAATAATAAAATAACTTCCATAATGCATTAAGAAATCTTATCAAGATATGAAAGTTGTTAGGCAACGTTGGAATTGTGATTGACAAAATTATTTAATGAGATCGTAACATGTGAAGAGATCTTTGATGTGTGAAGGGAGGGTGTTATTTATAGTTCCTACCTATATGAACAAAAGGATTCGAGCTAGCAAACTGTAGGGGGATTCGGGATAGGGGTTATACAATAAAATTACCAAAGAGGGAGATGGAGAATAGATTAAGGTATAATTTAAACTTGTCCATTTAATCAGTTTTCTTTCATATCAAAAGCATCTACTAATTGAAGCCATTGAGCTATTTCGTTACTTGACAGGAACTATAGACAAAGGACTTGCATATGATTTACATTGATATAGGAAAAGCATGTGATGGAGTAATAGCCTAAAAGAACGAATTTTATTAGATATGCACAAGGATTACCAGGAGTAAGTTATAACACAAAATTTTAGTCGTCAAGATTAGAACAGAGATGGTAAGTCAGAATTTTTATGGCATGCTTGGTTATCAATTAATATAGCTAAAATATCAGTGCACATGATTAGAGAAAGTTAGAAGGATGGTGGGCACATAAAGATGGAGGATTGTGTTGTTCAAAAGAGAATTCTTTTATTTATGAAGAAAATGCAGTGCACATGATTAGAGAAAGTTATATGAAGTAGAGAAGTAATGCATACACATAATTTTATCAGAGGGGAACGTACCTAGAAAGTTAAAAAGAAGTCGGATGAAATGGAGAACTCACACATAAGACTAGAGAAGTGTACAACAAATTGTGCCTTATTCTTATGGAGATGGCTAGATAAAACCACCATTGCTACTCCGTTCGATCCATTACCACATTTACTGGAAGATCTTCTACAATTCTTCCCCAACCACAACATGTCATGTTAATTTTTGATATGCCTTTTCCTTTTCTTACATGTCCTACTAGGTTTGCATTATTATTTTTACTAGAGCCCACTTTAGATCTACGAAAGACACGTCCTAATCACCTAATCTTCTCATCAATTTATTGTCAAGTGGTGTCACCTCCACTTGGTATATTTTTTCTTTACTTATCTTATCCATTCTAATACGACCACATCTACCTGAAAATTCTCATTTCCTCATACTTTCATCTTATGGAGATTATTGTCCTTCTCACAACTCAGCATTTGGTACTATATAGCAAAACAATTTAATAAGGGTAATTATGTTCACACCACAATTTTTATTAGTTAAACCTTATTTAATTGCACTTAAAGTCCTCAACATTGCTCATATAATACTTATATCCCTAACTTTTTTTCGTTAAATTCTTATTTTCAACCTCTCATTAATTAACATATCTCGTTCTTGATTATGGTTCTGTCAAAATATTTTTGTATACTTCGAAATGTGGGGAAAATATTTTATTGTACTTGAATTTATTATTTTCCAACAAATATGATGGAGATAAATGATCTATTTTTATGTCTTCCCAACGAATGTTTTAGACTGAAACCAAATGTGCATGACTGGAAGGTTGAAGATAAAAATACATTGTAAAAAGTTAGGAACGTAACTGCTACAATGAGCAAAGAATAAGGACCTTAAGTGAAATTAAAATGTGGTGCAACTAATAAAAATTATGGTATGAATATAATTACCCATTTAATAATTGTTTTTTACACCCTAGAATCCCTCTTACACTTCTCCATATCATCCAACCAATTCTAATTCTATATATTATATCATGTTCAAGTCCTCTTTAATAATCGAATCTAAATACCTAAAATAATCTGTTTTGGAACAAATAAATAGTTGTGAAGCTATCTGACTTCAAGTTTATTAAATATATAAGACTTAGTCATTGATTATTATAAATTTTGTACTGGGTTAAGAAATTGTAGAGCTAAGTAAATATTTGTTCCAATTTTTTTTTTACTGCAGTATAAACTCTAAACATAATTTTTAATATCACATTCAATCATTTGTATGGAACACAAAAATAGCAAGAACATGACAGTAATATTCATAAAGAAAAATCGTTACCTTTTGGAAACTGCCATCAGCAATGACAAATGAAGGTAGCCGTTGGCCAGAACTCCGTGAAGATATGGTCAATAAACTCCCTTGCCTATGTTGGGCGCTTATCAAATAAGACATTTTCTGCTGCTTTCCCATCAAAAGTGCCTCGCAATGATTGGCTGTTTCCTTATAAGATGCATCAGGAGCATTGCTTGTAGAAAATCTGCCTACTTGATGTGCAGTCTCCAGAACCTGTTCACAAATATCATGCACAACATTATTGAAAGAAAGTTTTCGAGGGACAATTTTAAAGATGATATGATGCCTTATCTGGCTGGTATTTAACCGTGTAAAGAAACAAAAGTCCAATTAAACAAATCATCTATACGACTCAATACTGTAATGAATTTGCACCACTTCAGAACTTTCGGAGACTACACGCTCCTACGATGACTAAGTGAAATGTGAAAAGAATCAGTGAATATGGACAAAAATGTGTATGCTATAATTAAAAAAAGTCCAATGAAATGTAGTTGAAGTTAGGCAATCAGCTTTCATACTCTGTATGACTTAACCAGAAAATAAACCTAACTATCAGATCATTATTGCTTAGTAGTAAACATAAAAAGAACCTCGTGAAGAAAAACTTACAGATTGTAGAAGTTGATCGACGCTCAAAAGGTCAGGAATTTCAAGGGCCAACAGTGAATTATGTTGACTACTTTTTGGATCCAGAAGAGAATCATCATCTATTTCCAAAATTGAGGCCACCTGCACCATATTAAAAAAGACACGATAAGGATCATCTTTGGCTATGCTTAAAAGTTATTTCTTGAAAGTAAGTTTTGTGAGTAAAAAGTAACTTCGAAAATTATGTTTGGCAAAATATAACTTAAAATTAAGCACATCCAGACATATCATCTCAGTAAAAAGTAATCTATAAGATCTAATTAAAGTATTACATTGTTTAGAGATTTAAAGTTCGTTGTATGCCTCGGATGCGCTTGGTTAGAGGTGTTTGTGAACACCTGGACTCCCAGAAAGCATTCTTCATCAGGCATAAATCCTTTGAGCAACTGCTCCCTTATGGAAGATTCTTCAGACTGCACAAAGTAGCATTGGGGGAAGAATTACTAGTTGAATTGATATATTAATCATGCATCCCTTTCATGAAACTAACTTACATTTGTCAAATTATCCAGATTATTAATAATAACAGAAACAAGACATTCTGTAGTCTGTTCCTGGGTGATTTTTATTTCTGAAAGACATCTCAAAGCTGAACTGTCATCTTCCTTTGACCCATAAACGGTTTTCGGATGATCAGATCCTGTATCCGAAGTCTTCAACTTACAATCATCAACCAAGCACAAAAATGGATCGACCTGAAACAAAGATGATGAAGCATCTAATGAACCTTGGTAAGTCGAGCAATATTTGTATTGACCACTGATATCCATTGACTATTACTACAGCTTACGGTGTTGAAGTTGGTACTGGTGTTGAAGTTAGAGCACGTTTGGGTAAAAGCCTAAATAGTTAAGTTTTAAGTAAATTTACTTATAAGTACACAAGTTTCCAAAATGAATAATTTTTATGGGTCAAAGTTGAAAATAAGTTAGTTACTCATTTAGATAGCAACTAAAAAATTACTTTACAAATGAGTGACTTTTTAGACTTGAAAGTACGAAAAATGGGACATATCCAAACATATTTGGAAGAAAAGGTCCCATTAAATTAATTTTTTATTACATTTAAGCTTAGACAAACATGTCTGACATGATTTAAGCATTGAAAGATTAATATACTACACAAAACTTGGGGCATAAAAATTGTAAAACGAAAAAGCTTGTTAAAAAGAGAGAGGTAACCCACCACTTTATCTTTAAGTATAGCCTTGACACGTGGGACAAGAGGAAGGATGTTGAATGCCTTCGATGAAAATATAATCATAGAAGTCGACAGCACAAAGAGGGATCTGCGGCGAGATGGTGGCAGTGGCACTGGTAATACAAATGAATATCTTGACAATTATAATTTAACCGTACTCATAAAATATGTCTAATAAATTTAATTAGCAATACCAAGTCAAACAAGCAAATAGAATCATCAACTTGTTTCACTACAAGCATATAAATAATTATCTGGACTCTAATATTCATTTATAATCAAGATTCTTTAGTTGCTAATGACCATTGGCAAAAACTCAATCACTTCTACTCAAAGTAAATTTTGGACGCACCTGAAAAAACACAACCATGCAAGCTATATATGTCAATTAATATAGAAATTTTAAGACATCTTTCAAAATGTAATGAAAATATGTCGTGGTTCAAATATATCAAGATTAATCAACTTAATCCTGGATTGCCAGAATAGATTCTCTTTAATTGATTAATATTTTGGGTGTAGTTGAAAATGAAATTTTGTAGATTGTAATATGTCATTAAAATTTCATTAATTGGAGTTCTAGTGTACACATGTGTTTTAATAAGAAGAATATAGGTTCAAGTTTTTTTTTCCCCCTTCTACATTCCATTTGTTTCCTCACTAATACTGAGCCAGTAACTTAACAACTCCAAACTCCCCCCGAAAGGAACAATTTTGTGACCAAATAAGATTCAAGTATAAGAGATCACAAATTTTAAAGTATGTAGCATCATAGCTGAATGAAAGATGGCAAAGGTATACCTCTTTCTAAGAGAGAGACACTCCTTAATGAAATTGCCAATTGAAAACTCTCTATTAGAACATCACGGTAGGAGTTCTGCACAGATGCACGAGGACTAGTGATTATAGAAGTCCAAGAATAAAGCGTGGGAAGAAAATTGATAGCCATTGGAACAGTTAATAGGAATTGAAGCATCTACAAGCAGAAATAACAAAGGCAGCATGAATCTTGCAGGACAAAATCCCCGTGGGTCTATCATTTCCTATTACAGAAATTGTAGACGGGAATTGAATTTTCCTAGTAATAAACGGTAAGGAATTTCATTTTCTTTTTTCTTTTTTTTTTTTAACAGTTTTCAAGACAGTCAGTGATTCAATGTTGATACAAACAAAGAGTCTAAAAAACCTTTGAACCTGTAAATTACCTTGGCTCGAGAGAACAGCAAAACCAAGCTGTATGTATTAGCAATAGCTTCATAATTTTCAGGCGTGTTTGAAGGAGACATGGATTGTGCCCAAATAGAAGAGAGCAGAAGGCTTATTTGGTGGCTGCTCAGCCTAAGAGCAACGGCATCCTAAAATCAAAAGGAAACAACTATACAATTTAGTAATGGTACAAACAACAGACTCAGCAGGCAATCATCTAAAATTTTAATAAGTCCAATGTCTTTCAAAACTAGAATTGTGGCATGTCTAATAAGGTGAATTAGACAACAAAAGATAGTAATAACAAAGAAAAAGAAGATAGTATCTTGTCTATTATAGAGTCCAGTTTGGTTTAACATAATGTATCAAATATGCACTCAAGGAATTATGTGATCCAGAGAAGACATCTGACTTTAGAACAGACTGAAGAGAATAATTATGTACGGAAGTTCCTAAATTGAAAAGAATAAAAGAAAATGAGATATGAACTAGCAGGTTCATTTCAGCAGTGATATTTTTAGAAAAATGAACATTCAGCATCAACTACAAAAGTATGAAGTTGGGACATGACGAAGACAACTTGATAAACCTACCATTTCTTTACTTGACTTGGTTGCAGAATCTACATCTGGTGCTGGTGAACTTCTGAAGCTGTACGCTTGACTATAAGTTGACTTAATTCTATCAAACATTCCACTAGGGTTGTTTCTTTGTTCTCCCTCACCTAAAGATTTTTCGTTGTTCAATTCATTGAGGTTTTCCCTTGAACTTTTTTGGTCACTCAGTTTTTCAAACAGGGCAGCCGATGAAGAAAATACAGAAACAGTTTTTGAGAGTGTTCTCGGAAAGTCAGTAGTCTTCTTCATGCCAATTGAGGATGAGTATGAATGAGGGCAAACGGAAGATGGCACAAGGACAACAGAGAAGATCCGGTGAGCTCCAACTCGCGTTTCATGATCTGGATGGACCATAGCTGGAAGCAACTGATGAAATAAAGCCTCAGGGAAAGCCTAAAAATTTAAAAGAAAAGAGAAAATTGGGAATGAGATAAATATGGGCTACAGAAAGAGAGCTCCAAAATGAGACAATTTTTGAAAGCCCCTACCTTGTTTTGATACGATAAATTAGGGATAGAAGCTATAATTTGAGCAGTGCGGTAAACAGCAGAGATGGTCGTTCTAGCTACAACATTAATGCTTGAGATGCTCTCTAATATTGTGGCCATTACGTCAAGGATTATACCTGCATCTCCAACCTGTTAATAAGTGAAACAAAAGTATTATGACTTGGGGAGTTCCATCTGCTGAAAAGGAATTTTCAATGTCCAGAAACTGAATGCATATTCCATCCGATAAGCTTGTGGTATTAATTGTGGTAAGCTTTTGTATTATAGAACTGTAAAAGATTAACCTATTTTCAGCTGTTAACAAGAAAACAGGCTAGGTAACCCACCTTAGATGACAATTCTGTGAGACACTTATCCACGGCTTCATAAAATTTTCTATTCCATTTGATTAATTCCTCTCCCAGATTTGAATCATCAAGACAACAATGTATGCTTTTACGCAGATGCCTTATAACATCACCCACCGTACTGACTATAGATACTGATGACTGCACCATGGTGAGTTGAGCAAGGGAAGTGGCAACCTCAACGATGTCAAGCTGCATATAAGGTTGTTTAAGAACATTTCTATGGTCAAGATGCTTGACTAATATCGACAACAAAAAATGTGCATTCTGTCCTGTAAAATCAAATAAAGGAACATTTAATTACTCTTTTGTGAGAATTAAATTTCAATCTAAAATTGAAACAGCATTAAAACTAAAGCTGCGAAATAGAAAGGAGAAAGTAATAAGAGTGCCTGAGTCGTCCATCAAAAGTTGCATCTCTTTGAGGACAGGAAAAGCAATCCCCTGTTCAACAGGCCATAGATTTCCATTATCAAAATACCGGAACAAGGATTCCAAAACCCGGCGCATAGTTGTAGCCTCCTTCCCTAGCTTGGCCATGTTATGCAAACACACCCTAGACCAAAAGCATGGATTCTTGGCATCTTCCCTGTGTTAAAGAACACCAAGATCCAGTTTTGAGGATGTTATAAAACTCTAAGTGAAGTGTTAGATAGGATTAGATACTATAATCAACAAAATTTTAACTTCTGATCAATATCATGATGAGAAATTACGCTGTCATATTGAGTTCTCCTTTCTCGTTTACAATCATCCTCCAAGAGGGAACCCTCATCAAGACATCTGGTGAAGGAGAGACATGGCCCTCAATTTTACGAACTTCTTGCACCCAATGGTTTTGGTTGGGATCTTGGGACTCCTTTAGTGGACTTCTATAATTTTCCAAGACTACAGAAACAATCTGGTAAATAGGAAAAATAAACTGATGAATAAAATAGATTGTGCACAGTAAGACTGATAGGCTACGTAAGACAGGCTAAAAGTAACATAAAAGAAATCTGTAAGAAAATATGGCATACATAATACAAGAACTGTAAAGTTCAGCCCTGTTCAACTATCACGGGATTCCATATAACTAGAAGATTGAAAATTATTGAAACTTTTCAAGGTTTGAGTTCTAAACAAAGATATTAAAAACTGAACCAACACTTTATACATCTATCTAGGCATAAGATGGAGAAATAAAAATAACAGGAATACCAAAAACATAGAATCCAAAATTGTAAACTGTGCAGAACAAATTAAGTAGAAAAGAAAGAGAGAGAGAGTTTGCATAAGTAGAAAATACTTGCTTACATTGTCAAATTCAACTGGAATATGAGAATTTTCCCCCATGAACCAGACCTGTGAAACAAAAACATAAATAAAACTGAGCAACGATGAGAAATATTCATATGCAACGATAAGAGAAACGTTAAGTCCCTGAAGGAATAAAACAGGAGAAAGAGAGTAATGATAAGCATTTGAAGCTCATTGCAGATTTGGATTTATGAATGAACATGCCAATCCCCTGATAGCATTAATTTCTGATAGTAACCAGTCAATAGAACTACTTCTGTACTAATGCGAAATTTTTCAGCACAAGAATGCATGAAAAGAAAGATGAAAATCCAGAAACTGGGCTTCTAAAAGAAAAGGAACTAGAAAAACCATTTTTACGTCTCATTGTGACTATAAAACCAAAGCACGGTGATGCAGGAGCATTAAGAAAAGATTCAGAATTCAATGGTAGAAATCCAAATTCCAAAACAGACATCTTAGTTCAAAGCACCGCGATGTTTCGTATTCAGGCAAAATATACAATTACAACAGCAAAGTCTTCCACCACCTTCCACCCCTATATCTTCTGTGGGGTAGAAGTAGAATACGAGAGATCCAAGTTCAGAACATACAAGTCTGTGTATACAAAGAGATGCATACATACACAGGACATGTTCATATTTTTTTATGTACTTACACACACGTAGCAAAACAAGAAGAAGATCAAATAAAGATTCTCATAGCAGGTAGTGTGCCGTCCAGTTTTTACTCACAAGACCTGTGCAAGGCTTTACAGTTTCAAACAAAAACTAAAGAGGTATTTCGTATTGTTGAAAACTTTTACTTTCTTGTTAATAATGCATTTGTTATATATAAGTATTTTGATATGAGATTATGATTTATAACCTGCTTTGATGATATCATGAAATGTTATGCAAGAAAAACAAAGATGAAGAAACAAAAAAGGCGCATAGTTCCCAAAACTCATTTAAAAAAAGCAATATCTACAGATTGGTACTTCATCCACGGAAAAGAAAGAAAAAAAGCTAACTGTAAATCGTTTAATTTAGCAACACAACTGTTCAAACAGAAAATACACTTGGAGAAAAAAGTAACCATTTTGTCACTAATAGAACCGTTTATACCGTTGTAGACATGAGATTTTGTGAATTCTTGTTAGTAAAATGAAAAATATTTATAAGTGAAAAGGTAACTATAATGTGAACAAGATACCATAGAGGATAAAGCTTGTAGTGCAACTGCACGAAGATGTTGTTCTCTCTCATCTCCTCCATCTTCTTGAGCCAATTGACAGAGCTTTGGAATAAATCCTTCTAGGTTAAACATAAAGGTTCCATCAATCTGCAAAATATACCAAAGTTCAATAGTCTAGTTTTTCCGAAGAGAGGAATTGCAAGAATCTGAACTGGATGTCTAAAAAACGAGAAGCTTAGGCACCATGGAATATTGAACGGGACAAAAAAAATACCAACCTGATTATTTACAAAATCAAAGATAGACTGGCACCCTATAATTAGCATTTCATCCTGGTTTGTCTGATCCAGCAGAATTTGCATAATGCTTAATAGACTAGTTGCAAACAAAGGCCTGACACAAAAAACCAGAGTCAGTACAGGTTTGTATTGAATTCCCTAAGATAATGAATTTCAACCGAAATCCCACATAAACGACTGCATTAGTAAGTCAAATAAAACGCAACAGCTAAAAAAGATAAAGCCTCTTAAAAATTAAGAACTGTCATTCCTTTCGAGTGGATCAGTATGGGTAAAAGATAAGAATGAATACAATTTGTACTAGAAATTTAATAAAAAATGCCTACAGGTGACAAGATAAATTCAACTTTGTTTCTGTCAATTTAAATTTGGAAAAGAAATCATGTTGTTTTGGGAATAGAAGAAAAAGCAGAAAACTAACTGCCTGGAAATTCACTCAACAACACGAGACCATTAGCTCATATATGATATGACCTCTGCAGAAATGTGGGAATAACATTTGTGTCTCTAGCAACATCTAGCAATCTTAACTGAAGAATAAAAACTTCTTAAATTTATTATCATTGACCTATCTCTAATTTGAAGAGATTAAAGATACCAGATGCCATAGCAAACAAAGTGAGCAGAGGTTTCATGATACGGGAACCTAATTTCCTCTCAGAAAAAAAAAAAAAAAAAAAAAGGACTACTTGGGTGAAGAGAAATATTTATTTTCACTTGACCTCTGACAAAAGAATAAGTATTTGGTGAGGAATCGAGACTTCACTAACCAGAAAATAACACTCGTGAAAATATCCATAGAGAACCTTCAGAATATGACGAATTTTAAAAAACAACAAATAAAAATTGTATAGATCAATGGACGTACATTTGCTCCTTGCAAGAAACTATCAATTTCCTGTAAATAAACATAACAATTTTTGCCAAACGAAAGTTTCCATTTCGTAATTCCTTGTAGAACCTTTGCTCAAGGAAACTTGTAATCTGTCATAAGAAAACAGACAACAAAGTAGAAAAAAGAAAAACTTTTACTCAAGGGAAGAAAGTATTATCCGATCTGTGCATAATAATTAGACAGAGATGGTTTGAAGATAAATCATGGTTATAAACACATTAGGCTAGAGATCAATAAAGTAAAAAATTAATACCCTTGGGATGCGCAAAGGATTTCTTGCGGCATATTCACATAATTTCCCCATCTTTCGATCATTAGGTTCTTCTTCCTATAAAGCAGAAGGGGAAAATGTCACGATTTCAGCAATAACGTAAAAATGATACATTTAACATAGCCAAGCCACAGAAATATTATGCTGATGCAACATAGACACAATAGTTGTCCCCAAATAATGTTGAAATACTTCCACATTAAAAAGACTATTGCTTATGACTTGAAAGGTATTTCATAAATTATTATGACAATAGCATAACTATATAAAAAAGAAATCTCCAATTCCTTGCAATTTTTGTAAAAAGACCACAAGTTTGCTATATAGCTGAATATCACTAGAACCACAATGCAAACGTCATACATATCACATTCTTCAACAGATGTTCACTCTTGGTAAAGGCATAGGAATAATATAATCACAAAAAGGCAATCTCCACATTGTAACACATGATTCGTGAAACTAACCTGGGATTGAGGAAAAATTTCTGCGATCAACTTCTTGTACCTTTTAACAGGCTGCCTAGACCGAGCCCGCATTGCTGGGCAAAAGAAACAAAGACTGCCACATACTGGCAAGACTTGCCTTGAAATCAAACCCGAAACAGCACTCATATTTCAATAATAATAATCAACAATGCTTTCTTTCCCTTCTTTATCTCAAAATTTTCAAGATTCTCAAAAATCTTGAATACTGGAAGGGAAAGGAAAGCCCTTAAGATGAAGGGGACACTTTTCAAATTGTTTTACCAGCCTGTATAAATCCAAAATTTTAAAAAACCTTACGTCAATATCTCTTCAACCTTCAAGAACAATATAATTTAAAAGATTGAAGAAAATAACCATTCCATAAATTCTCAAGATACCCAAATTCCTTAAATTTATCGTGAATCTTGATCGACAGCCAGCCTACATAAATTCAGAATTTAAGACACTTCGCCTGAACATCGTATCAACCCATTACAATTAACAAGGTAATTTAAATATTCAAGAAATAAGCATCTCATAAATTTTCAAGAAACTTGAAATCCTTCAATTTATGATAAAACTTGAACATGTCCGCCTACGTAAATCCAAAATTTAAAGACAATTTACAATAATTCGCATCAACCCATTTCAAGAAATCAAGAATATAAGCATCTCATAAAGATCAAGAACATAAGCATCTTATATATTTTCAAGAACTATTGATCGAGTATAGATAATAACTATTATATGGAAAACAGGTAATGGGTCATTTTCATTCATCTTTTTCTTCTTGCCAATGATGATTGAATGAAGAAGTTGTAATGTACCTTCAGATCAATGCACGTAAAGAAGAGATAAGGAGGCTGGTAATCCTTCAATAATTTCAAACAATGTAAGCATTCGTCTCCACCCTCCGAAAATTAAGACTTCTCTCTCTAACCACCCCTCCCCTTATTTCTCTCTTCATAAAACATATTTTTATATGTAATTTAAATATCGACTGATAAAAATTTAAATATCGGCCGTCTGACATTAATGATTGAACATGTCCGCGTTCCCCATCCACAACGTGGAGTGACGAACGTGGAATGAAATTGGTCGGATTTAAAGATATTTACATTTTTGCCCTATTTCGAAATCTAACCGTTGCTCCATATAAGTTTATTTAAATTTGAATTAGGACATCATTTGTACCAGGATAATTCTTGTTGTACATAATTTATGTACATAGAGGGGTACATAATGTGATGTGGCAACCATCCGGTGGTTGATGTGAAAGTGTGAGATTTAAATTAAAGGTTGGATAGGTGCCACGTGTAATTATGTGAACCATTATTTGAAAATTTATGTACCCCTAGCAAAGTCCTTTGTACAATGTTGTATGATCAAAAAATTATTGATTTAAAAGATAAATTATTTTTAAAATTTTTCAATGATAACATATTAAGTGATACGATTGTGCTATGTGTACACAATCTATTGCGCCATCCTCATATGGAGGGGGCCCACACAATAAATTATTTGTGGGTCCTTCTCCATGTGAGAGGGGTGTAAAAGATTGTGTACATCACAAGGTGTACATATAGCATTATTCTACGTGATATGTTGTCAATAATATTGTAAAAAGATTGTACACTAAGTGCTTGTCTGGAGAAAATTATAAGCCAAATTCCACTCGTTATTTTCCTATACGTGGGCCCTATATGTGAGATGAATGGTCCAAAATTGCTGCTCAACGGTCAATTTATAGATTAAAATTCAGTTTTAAAGTTGGGACAGACAAGCTCTAAGTATGGTTGTTTGAATTAAAACCTTCTAATCCAACCTAATGGTCTCAAGTATTATTATACAGTATTTAGAAGTAATTTAAGAATACTTATTTCCTTATAATAATTTTTTATTGTCAATTTAACAATTAAAATGTTTTGAAACTTAGAAGATGTTTTTCATAAAACAATATTATCGAGACATCTCAATCTAAACAATATAATTGTAATGCATCAAATACGTTTATCACAAAGTCGGTGAGACGGACGACTTCAAATATCAAAATTACAAGCAATTTAAATCTTATCCTATCCTATATGGACCATGCTACACTTACAAAATATTTTACAAAATGTTTTACCGACGGGCCACTTGGCGCCCCACCATTGGAGGGGCGCCTGT